TATATATATACTCTTTATATATATATAACTCTTTCTTTATAATGAAAGAGGTTGTACCTTCTGCAAAAACTGACTTTTTTGTTCATAGGGCTTTTTACATTCTCATTTAAATATGTGGACTGCAGAGTTTACCATGTCCTTTCCTTGATTCCTGTTTCCTTCCCTAGGATAGTTGCTGAATGCTTCCTCCATTGATATAATTCAAATTTATTTCTAAGGAAATAAATCTTTGCAAATACAGAGGAATACTTTCCTTTCTTTTATGTGCCTCACTCAGCACGTAAGTCCTGTCCTTTTAAGATGAAGAGTGTTTTTTGGATCTTCGTTGCTCTTTTGTCTCAATCACTGCACCTTTGTACTGTGCAAACTGGAAAGTTTCTGCAGAGTACTTGGACCATAGTCTGACTATAATTTCAGCAAGACCTGATGATGTTTGCAAACCATTTGGCAGCGGTAGGCCTGGTAGTGTAGCATTATCTTATGACCTGAAATGGAAATTTTTCAAAAGCATAAGCCTATTTCAATCTTAAACTTCCAGTCTGAGTCACAGCCTGTATGCAGGATTCCCAGCTATAAGTGGGAGCTGGGAATTAAGACCTTTCAAGCCTCCTTGAGCTTTTCATGAGTTGATTGAGCTCTCAGTGATGTTCAGAAGATATTAGGGTCATCAACCCATGAATACTTAAAGGCAGTGTCCTCTGAGTAAAAGTATTTTCATGTCTTGTTATTGATGTATTTTGTAAGAGAAGGAAAATTGCACAAGCTTAGACACTGCTCCATAGAGTTGTTGGCCATGTTTGGAATTCTTCAAGAAATTTCAGAGGTCACTGTCAATAGTAATCTAAAGCCATGGCCCAGTTTCTGTCCCATAGCAAAATCATTGCTAGTTCAATAACGTCAACAGCAATGGCGAAATTCTTTGGTCCTGTTCGGTCAGTGCTAATTTGTCTTTTTCTAGGTGTTTGGGGGATTTTCCACTGAACTGTTGTTGCAGATGTAACTGTAGAGAGAAAGGAAACTTTCAACCTTGAAAGATAGTTTCATTATATATTTTTCAGAAAGTCTGTGATCCACTATTAGAAATGATAACCTTGGGAATGTTCAGAGACGTTTTTCCCAAAGTGTTAGCACCATTTTGTACAGCCATATTTTTATTACTTGTAATTGCTTGTAATTAGGAGGGTCTCATATTTTGTAGCTCTGCAAGTAATTTAATACAGAATATACTTCAAAATAAGATGCAAATACACAAACACACACACACGCTTCAGCCCCATAGGAATGCATGTAAACTAGCTAAAAAAAAATTTTTGCTGGTTCCACTGGATGATTCTGAAAATCTGAATTCTCTGTTCTTATATATTTGTATGTGTGTGCATACACACGCACACACACACACACACGCATGTAGACATACATATATACATGTATGCATACATGTATGCATACATGCATGCATATATATATATCTTAAATGCTACTGGCCTTTTAATGACCTTCATCCATTACAACATATTTGGAAATTTACCAAACGCTGCCTGAAGAATTGCTTCCTCTTATGCATGTGTTTGTTAGAATAAAACTCTTTCGGAAGAAAAAGGGTTCTAGTTTTGGTTTGATATATTCTGAGATGCTAAGAATCCCTGGTATTTCAGGATTCTTTGTGCACTGACCCAGTCATAGCAATTGGGCGTTTCCAGACTAGTAAGTCTATGGACAGTTTGAAGAAGCTTTGAGGACAGAATTAAAATCCTTCATATTAGTCATCTTCAGTGTGCTGCATTTGATCTTCCTTCAGTTTCCTAAATATATTGACTAAATCACATTGTTATTGACGGTTTTCCTGAGGACTAGCCTGTGCTTGAAGGCCATCATCCTGTGTTAACTCAAAGACTTATTTGGTTCTGTAGGAAAGGTGCACTGTTCTCAAGTTGGTAATGTGCTAGGAATGTTTTTTTAATCTTTGTGTAGAACCAGTCTGGATCTTTTGGTCTAGGTTTTGTGCTGGATGACTGCAAAGCACTTATCCAGCTGGTTTTGGCTTCCCTTGTCATGCTTGAAGACATAGAGGCCTCATGCTTAAATATATATTTCAGACGTGTTTTATGCAGCACAACCGTCTTTAGCGCTGGTTCAGTTTTGCCTTTTCTTTTTTTTTTCTCTCTTTGCTGTTAATGTGGACTGCTGCTTAGCTCTTGAGTTGTATTTATTTGTCCATCATTTGAAACAAGTTATGCATGTCCTAAAAGATAAGTTCTGGAAATAACATCTCACGTACTGGGTAGTCAGTGTTAGCATTCATGATAGCCTTACACGCTGGTAATTAAGTACACTTGCTGTGAAAATGACAACTTTCTCAGGAGGATCTGTTGAACTTGTCAACTTGATTAATAAAGAGAGAGAGAGAGAGAGAGAGAGAGAGACACCTTTTAATCGTCTAAATTTGTTTTCAGCTTCTTATTATTTATAATTCTGCAATGTTAAAACCCTTTTAAGCAAGAGGGCAGGTTCTGTGTGGTGCAAGGCACTCTGAGAACATGACATTGAGCAGTGCGGAGTTCAGATACCTTACTGCTTATATTAATGGCATAATAACAGTAGTAGCTGAAGAAGTTGTTCATGCGCTCACAGGTATGTACTCTCTCCAAAAATTCCATCTGGATATTCCAGTAGCTATTGATTCCTCAGTTGCTTATACTGCAGGCCACTATGGCACTGAGTCAGAGGATACCAAATATTGTGTTTCTGTGAAGGCAAATTCCACCTGAGCAGTGCAGGCACCTGCCCATCCGCTGCCACACACTGCCCTTTTCTTCCTTTCGGAGCGCAGTTCTAGTTCTCTCCTGTTCACTTTGCCCGCTTTGCTTAGTCGACAACTGACAGGGGACAACCTTGCTCCTGCCATGGGTTCAGGGCCCGCTAGGCCTATGAGTCCCCAAGTTCAACAGACACAGGCTCTACACCTGTGGGTTATACATATGTTCTTCATACACATGCTGGAGTAAGCATACCTCTCTTACAAACCAGCAATATGCTTTGAGAGAGCACTGTTCATGCTGTCTGCTAGTGAGTTAGGGAACAAGACATCAGTTGATCTTTTTAGGCACCTGTTAGGGTTTACTTTTGATAAAATGCAACAAAGTCATATTTTAACCATTTTAAAATATCTTATGGATTATACATGCCATGTTGGAAATAACAGTCACTGTTAAGCTTCCAGCAGAAGGGAAGTGTAGCCATCTGACATTGATTTTTTTTTTCTTTTCACAAAGCGGTTTATAGTAATTATGGTACATTAACAAATGCAAAAAACAATGTGTCTTATTTAAAGTAGAAGGCAAGTTTTCATTACTGGATAATTGGAATTATATTGATATGCAGTGATATTAACATGGTTTTCAGATAATTAGAATAATTAGTTATAGTACAAATATGAATGTTTCTTTGTGTAATATGTTTAGAAATAAATAAGTGAAAAGCATAGCAATGGTTTGTTTGTGTCAGTGAAAAGAGATTCAGGCACTACTGTTCTGCTGTACAGCATCGCTAGATATATATTTTAAACTAAAAAATACTTTATTGCAAAATTGTCATTTGTGCCTGTGGATGCTTGGCTGGCTGAACTGAGGAAATTTTCTTTTATAGAGAGGGTACCATTAGTAGTATTTATTATTACATAGTGAAGTACAGATTCTTTAGCATTAACAATTCAATTTAGAACAATTACTTTTAAAATAGAAACAGCTATTTTCAGGTCACTGGGGTATTGTCACTGAGCTAACAATGTTCATTGCATTTCAGGTGAGCTCTGTGAGGAGAAACTAGATTTCTGTGCTCAAGACCTGAATCCTTGCCAGCATGACTCAAAGTGTATCTTGACACCCAAAGGCTTTAAGTAAGTCTAAAATATTGTCACAGTCCAAATGTGTCTAAATTTCTTTTTCTTTATCCTGCTCAACTGCATTTGTTTCTGTTTTAATGGAAGGCAGTTCTATTTTCAAAATACTAATTTCAGTTATTATCAAATATCTTGGCAGAATAGGCCTGCTTATTTTCATGTAGATCTACGTTATTGCTTAAATGTTTCTTACTGAATTAACAGACCTTTATCAGCTCTAATTACAGTCAGATTTTAAATAGGAGCTAAGAAAAGTAGAGTGTTTAGTCTCTGTGCCAGTCTATACAACATACTTTTGGTAACTTGGACTGTAGGAAAATAATTATACTTAATTGAGGTGGGATTATTATACTCTTCTGAATAGTAATTGCAAAATAGATTATCAGTAAAGTACGTTGGAAGTTATAAAATTAAGACGTTCATCCCCAGGACAGCTAATCTTTAATTACACAATATTATTATTATAACTGATACAGATATGCTGATAAAGAAACACTTTAAAGTTTTTTTAATAGACTTTAGGCTAGTAAATTTAGGAAACGTGCAGCTTTAAATTGTTGTCATAAGCACCTGTTTTATATGCAGTGTCCTCTTGTGCCAGACCTAAGTTATCTGTTATCATTCTTACTACTCTAAACTTGCACTTTATTTACAATGTGTCAATAAATATTCAAAAATATATAATATTCAAATGAACATGAAATTGATAGTTTTCAACTGGAACACATTTCAGATTTGTTGGATTAAAATAGTTGTGCATTATGTTTATTTTCTTCATGTCACTTCAACAAAATTAGTTTGGCATCATCTACTTTACTGCCTAGTTCATAAGTCTGTCATGTTACTTTTTGATATTTTAAATCATGGAATAACACATGCAGTAACTTCAAGCATGTATCTCACTTAGTCAGCTTTTTAATAGTATGTATGTTTTATATTCCTTTTCCCTTTTCTTACTCATATGTTGCCAAATAAAAATTGAGAAGCATTTTATTAAAGAACTTAATTTAAAGTTTTACAGCCATTTAAAATCACTCTTGGTACTTTAGAACAAGTTTTAGATATTAAAGGAAACAAAACCAAGAAAAGAATCACAAGGTCTAATGAAATCGATTACATATGTCTTAATAAAAAAAAAATAGGAACGCATGGCTTTGTAATTTTTTCCATTCATTTTTCACAGAGTTCTGAGCATTCACTCACTCTAATATATGAGAATTCCTTGCAGAAATGCCACTAGCATTAACAGAGTTGCATGAAAAGAAAACCAACCTTATATACTAGTTTGAGGATAGTCTTTTTTCTTTTGGGGGGCAAGGAGTGTAGAGGGTTTGTTTTGAGACTTCTGTTTGCTCACAGAATACCTAATAACCATGAAGCTATTTATAGTGAATCCTGCTGGTTGAAATTTAAGAGGAAAAATTGTATGTATAACCTCTATAGTTTATAAACGGAGTGTCGGTCCATTCATAGTTGTTCAGTAATTTACAAAGAAAATATCCTCCAGTGGATTATTTGTCTGGGTTTCAGCAAGTGAGTATATTACTTATTTTTTTTCAGTGTTCTGCATTACTCATAATTTCCAAGACGAACTGTCAAAATGATTCATGAGGGCTCTCTAGATTTAAACCACAAATATTTGATATAATGTCAGATAATGAGTAAGCATGTGTAAATGGCAAACCTGTATTCATTACAATTGTAGATTCCCCATATAATAACGTGATTAAGCTACATACAGTCTTTACACACAAAGTCCGAGTAATACATTGTATTACGATCTCTAATTTTAACTATATTAGAAGAGATTTTTTTCCCTGTATTTTGAGCAGTTCAGTAGTTCCTTAACTTTGTCGTGAGTATGCTGTATTGTAAAAAGGCTCTGTGCTATTCCACTTAACTTTCCTGTTTCATAGATGTGATTGCACACCTGGATATGTAGGTGAGCACTGTGATATTGACTTTGATGATTGCCAGGACAACAAATGTAAAAACGGAGCACAGTGTACCGATGCAGTTAATGGATATACATGTATTTGTCCAGAAGGATACAGGTAAGAGAGATCTGAAGACAGTGCAAACATATATGTCAAAGGCACAATATTCTTGGAAATACTAATTTTTCTGTTTGTATTTAGTGGCCTATTTTGTGAGTTTTCACCACCAATGGTTCTACCTCGCACCAGCCCTTGTGATAATTACGAATGTCAAAACGGAGCCCAGTGTATCATAAAAGAGAGTGAACCAAGATGTCAGTGTTTATCTGGCTACCAGGGTGAGAAGTGTGAAAAGCTGATCAGTATAAACTTTGTGAACAAGGAATCCTACCTACAAATCCCATCAGCTAAGATACGCCCCCAAACCAACATCACTCTGCAGGTAGGATTGCATTGCAGATTCTGATCTGCAAAAAAATACAAGTGTCTCTTCATAGTGTGGAAAAGTAGTCAAAGTTATCAGTAGCTGACTTAAAGAGCTTTACACTGTCTGATTTAAAAATCTAGAAGAGTAATTGAAATAACTCTCTAGTAATATTGGAGTAGATGGGATTACTGATAGCAAGAGAAAGAGAACTTTGTGATGTTTCCCATTAAGCAAGAATTTTATAGTAAAGTAATTATATCAGTAAATTCAGAGATTCACTTAATACAGCATTTTAATTTAATACTTATTTTTAGTTCCTTTCTAAGTGTTTCTTTTTTTTTAACTAGATTGCCACAGATGAAGACAGTGGGATCCTGCTGTACAAAGGCGATAAAGATCATATAGCAGTAGAGCTGTACCGTGGTAGAGTGAGGGTCAGTTATGACACAGGATCTTATCCAGCCTCTGCTATTTACAGGTGAACTCAGATAAAACAAATTTCTGACAGAAACAAAATATGTATTAATTCCTTATAACAAAGTCACATTTTTTCAGTAGATAGTTAAAAAGAAGACATGCAAATGCAGTGTAGTGTCAGGCATTTTGTAATTAAAACATACTGCCAAAAGACATGATTTTGCTTGGAAAATAACACTTATGCAAAAATGTTGGGAAGATGCTATATTATTTATTGAATTAAAACTGGGTAAGGGGGAGCTTTCAGCAGGGAATTTATACATTTGTGTTCTACTGGAACTCACACATGGAAGTGTTAATTTTTTTTTCTGTGGTGTTACTGTCAAATAATTTCCTAGCTGCAGAGTAGTGTAAAGCACAGAACTGTACTGCATAAACAGAAAAGAAATGGCAGTTTCTCTTCTCTTCCATGTTAGGCAGTTGTCTCTTTTCCCTTCCCCAGATTCTGAGGAGAAACCTAAAAATTCTGAGAAAAGGCGTTAACCTTGGAAAAGATATATTTTTTGCTTCCAAAGTCATTAAGAGACAGACTCCACATCTGCTTTTAGAGCAAAATTTTTCACAGTTTTTTCACAGCCAAATTTCTTTAGCTCTCTGAAAACTTATTACCTTAAAATATCACCTGAATTTCCAAGGTTTTATGACACTCCTCTCGAAGAGATATTGCAAGAACGAGCAAAAAGACAACAGGCGTTATTTCTTGTTCTTGATCTATTTGCTAGAATTGTTGCTACAAATTACTTTTGGAAGTAAAAGGGGATATTAAAAGAATTCTCCTTGAATCTTTCTTTGCATTACCTTTAATGTTATAAAACTACATCAAGTGCATTTTAGTGTTATAAAACTGCATCTAGTGCATCTAACTGAAGGTTGCAGAAGATTGTAGCCATTGACACTGTTCTATATTCCATAACAGACATTTTACTTAAAATAAATGACTTTCAGAAATGATTGCACTCAAATGGCAATATAAAATAAAAAGCTTAAATTTATGTAGCAGGGAAACAATACTGAACTTTGTTAGGTAATAATACCAAGGGAACTGTGGTTTTAGTAGATTACTAAAAGCATTCCACAGAAAAAAAATTGGTCCTTTAAAATATAATATAAACTTGTTTAGTACAAACATAGCCTTTTGCAACAGGCATCTTAAAATTGTTTTTGTTTTCAGGTGCAATATGTATTTTATAACAAATTGTTTAAAATTTCATGAAATGTTTTAACATGTGGAAATAGTGTATGTATTTTAATTGTATAATTTTGCATTTATTAAAATTAAAATTTGGATTTACAGAAGGATAAGATATTCAACACAAGTTTAAAATTGAATGAAACATTCACTTTTCTCAGTGACTATGATTCAAGCTAAGATTATTCTTTTCTATCTTGGGTAGTGGTAAAAAAGAAATTCATATTAGATTATCCTGTCTGGAGGTGAATTATTTTTTCCTGATATTTTTTTTTTTTTTGGCAAGTATAACTGTTTGGGGAAATAGGAAGCAATAAAAATCAAGATAATATGTAATTTTTAAATTATTTAACCTCCAGTTTGCACACTCGGATGGGAAGTTGCTTACAGTGAGAAAGGTGGAAAGGAAATAAAAATATGGTAAAAGTTTATGAAGAGATGGGCAGATTTCATTACGGAAGTGAAAATTCATGGGTAGTATAATAAAAAGAAGACGACGAGTCATACTCCACTGAGCAGAGATGAGATGCTTGAAACAGGCCAAAATCAAAAACCAGCCAATGGAGAGAATCAAATAGAAGTTTTATCATGTAAATGATAGTCAAGGAATGATGTGTTGAAAAGCAGAGAAATAGGAGCTGTAAAGCCTGCAGAGGTGGTTGCAGTAGCAACGAAACAAAGTTATGAACAGATGATTTAATCATGAGGATAAATACAGAGAATGACTAGCAGCAGTCTAGCTGTGTAGAGTGAAGGAGAACTGCTTTACCAGTGGGAGCTGACTGCAGAAAGAGCCATTGTCCCAAAGCTCTCCTCAGTCAATCTGAGTAACGAGATGGAATGATGGCACTGCCAAGACCAATAAAGATAATCAATTCTCTGGAGATGGTTATTTTGGAAAAGTGGATCCGCTTGGGTTTTGTTCTGCCTGGGCATCCAATTTTAAATGTTAAATATTTTTTACACAAAAAAAACCTTTTCATTCTATACATTTCATCATGTATTTATTAGAAATACGGGACTGTTTCTTCCCAAGACCTTATTCTTCTACAGAGTTCCAGAAGTTTTAAATCATTTTTTTCTTGCAGCTTTTCATTAGCATCTGTGCATTCAGCTCTTAATTCTCCAATGGGAAATGGGTAGAAGTAATATAAGTGCATTGGCAGGAAATATTGCACAGATACGCTTTGTATTTATTTCCCTTATAATTTAAACCACCCTTACCTAGGAGGCTCCTCTTTCTGCAGTAAATTTTTACCAGTAAAGCAGTTTAAACTAGAAACTTTTAATAATCACTCCTAACAGAGACACATTCCCTTTACACATTATGTTTTATACATCCCTGGAATGACCTCTTGCTATAAAAATGTGTGTTCTGTGTTGCTCTCATCCTTTTAAATACAATTGTGTGAAAGGTTGATAAGTTGTAAAATTACATCAGTTTCCTTGGAGCAAGAACATTGTATTAGGGTTCCTTGTTTACTTAAGTTAAAAAATCATATTAATTTTTATTCCTTGGCACAACTTTTTTGCTGGAATCATCACAATGTATTAAATAAATTAATCCTGGTTCTTGAAATAACAGACAAAGCTCTTAATGCCTTGAATAGACCTTACTCTTTAGGAATGGTGAACTCTGACCTTTTCCTTTCCCCATGTGGAATCTGGAAGTGCCCCTCCTGCCTGCTCCCAAACAGTGTTTATTCTGCCACTGTCTACATGGCTCTGTGTTTGCCCTTTCATGTAGAGCTGAGTTTATATAGAGCATGCATGCTACCCTGCAGACTGTTTTATGATGCTGAGCTCAGCCTGTCCACTTAGAGCTGAGAATAAATAACAAAGAAGCTCCTTAATGTGTCACAGTTGTAAATGACGATCCAAGTGCTCCTGATCAGTTCCAGGAGAAAGCCAAATAAGTTAATTAAAGCATTGCTAAACATGTTTTTAGGTAATGTGCTTTATTTTACTGTGAGATTTTGGAAGCTAATCCCTTTCAACTGTGCTGCTTTCATAATGAGAAGAGCTAACTGACTGACTGACTGTTTCCATTCCGTCTCAGGATAACATCACACAAGTTAGTTTAAATAACTTTTTTCAGAGTTTAAGCTAGTTAATTGATGATGACCTGAAGCAAATAGATGTTTTTATGGAATCAGCTATCGAGTCTGGTCCGAAAGGCCTCTGGGCTACGGCTCGCTGTCATGTCTCCACACAGATATACATTCAGCTCATCACTCCCCAATGGGAAATGCACTAGAAGTAGTGTAAATAGCAATGATATACTCCGTCATTGGATTGAGTAATAGTACCCTTCCTTCTGTGATGTACTTAAACTGTGCTAAGTTGCAGAATTATCCTGAACTTAAACATTTGCCATGTGGATTTCGAGGCTGGTAAGCACAGACAAACATTTCTGGAACTTAGTAACATGACTGTGGAAGTATGTGTGAGCCCCACGTTTGAAGCAGGCTTGTCTGCATGAGGCCTGTCAGGTGTTCTTTCACCAGTGGGTTCAGGTCCTGTTAGTAAGCAGAAGGAAATGGTGTATTTACCCAAGAGGGAAAAAAAACCCAGCCTACAATAGTCTCTGCACTAGCCAAAAGCTGAATACGGAAATAACCATGTATAGCAAGCACAAGAAATTACTTTAGTGCTTGCTTAAGTTGTCTGAACCAATGATATGACTTTGTCTGGCAGGTCTAGGATTAGATGCAGTCCCAGATTCCAGGAAATAATAGGTTTATGCATCACTGGCATCAGCTCAGGACTTCATACACATAAACTGAATACTATGCAACATCTAGGACACGCAGACACACAAACACACAGAGTCAGATAAGATTTTAAATAAATTATTTAAATAAATAAGATTTTAATATGTTGTTGCATAAGAACTCTAAACTCTTTTGTGCGTTTGGCATTCTGCCTAGCAAATGTATCTCCACTAATGTTTAAAATACCAGTGAAGCTACGTTTATGTAACTCCTGATTTGGTGGCGATAGGCGTAACTCTGAACGAGAAAGGACTATGAATAATTAAAATACATATTGTTGATAGTGTGTTATTGAAGGGGTATTACACTGCATTAGCTCTTAAGTGTGCATGAATGCCTTTACTGAAAACCTAGTCTTCAGGAAACTGCACTCCTGGAGAAGTTTTGCTTTGAAACTGTATACTATTTAAAGAAAAGAAGTTAAAAACCATTCTAATGAGAGTATCAGCTGTTTAAAATTAATATTAATGTTTATTTTGCAGTGTGGAGACTATTAATGATGGCAATTTCCACATTGTGGAGCTGCTAGCCATGGATCAGATTCTGTCTTTGTCTATTGATGGAGGGAGCCCCAAGATAATTACCAATTTGTCCAAACAATCCACTCTGAATTTTGACTCTCCACTATATGTAGGAGGTAAGAGAATCTTACTGTTTCTTAGTAGCAGCATCATAGCTAATTTAGTCTGGTAATGATAAACACATGGTAAAAGACCCATTCATTGAGATAACACCTTAAGATAAAATTTCAGCAGATAGTCTGAATAGTTTCAAATTTAACAAACAGTAGTGGATAAATAATAACAAATAACACTGTTATGCCTGGGATTTAGTTAAAAAATGAAGTGTGTCCTCATAAAGTGTAGCTGTTGCTTTTTTATCAGTAGGGATATGTAATTCCCACTGTAAAAGTTTGTAACTTTCTACTGTTATATAGTTTTTTATTATGCTCAAGAAGGGCATTTAACGGGTCTCTAATGTTTAGCTACCTAAAGATTTAGTAATGCCTGTGCAGCAAGTGTAGAACGCTAGCACTGTGTTTTGGTAATGTTTTACAGTTCTATTGCACTGTACATGTATCTGCAGGAAATTATAGCAAGGTATAACACCATGAAGTATATTTTCTCTCTGGAGATCGTATTGCTTAAGGATGGTAGGAGATGTGGCAGGCGATTGGGGCTTTGGGGAGAGAAGAGTTTTCAGCAGGGGGTTACTTGTCTTTTGAGAAGAAGAAATTGTTTGTTTCAGAAAAGTTGGTAGTAGATAATTTTGTGGAGGTGAATTATATGAAAAACTTTTGATCATTTGCCCCAATTTGTTCTGTAGAGTGAGGGATGCAAGCCCATTGTCTTAATCCGCATTCTCTATTGAACTTTTGATGGCCCTGCATAACCTGCTATGACTAGATAAAAGAAAATTCAGCCACTGCTTTGTGCCTTCTTACTGTGCTTCATAGCAGCCCTCAGATTTTAGTGATCACCGCTTCAACATAGCTTTTAAATAGTGCCGATCTTCTACCAGTCTTAAACTTCTACTCAGTTTAACTTTACACCTGTTTAAGGTTAACAGTCTCTCTTAAGACCTGTAAGAAGTCTCCTTTTAATGTTTTCTCTATAAAAAGAATACCCACTTTCTTTGTCTTTTTCATTTGAATTTTGTCTTGATTCTTAAGAACTCTTTTGTGTCTGAAAATAAGCTTTTAGACTTCAGCATCTTTTCTCCTTGCAGAAAGGTACACTACCAATAGTACATTCATGAGGTGCCCGTTCTATCTAGCGACGGTGCTAAATATTTGTCCTTCTTTTTCAAAGTATGTAGAAAAGCTCAGGGTATTTGCTTAAATTTATCTGTAACGGAAAAGACAACGGGAAGTTTCTTTGATTCAGATCAAATAATCTTTCTGCTATAAAATCACTACAATGAGCACCTCAGTTACAAGTAATGAGGAGTAAGTTGATGTTTATCTCTAAAAATCCCCATTCTTTCTTTGAAACCCTTCAGATTTTTGACCAGATCTTTTCAGATTTGGTCACTGGTTCTGTCCATCTAAGATGGAAAGAAGTGCAAGAAAGAATTCAGCATTAGTCATCACTCCCCATACCGGCAGAGAAAAGAATTAAAGTTATCAGATATATGCACTACCTTTAATACTGCTTTATATTATGAATCTTCAAAGGAGGATTGTTTTGTGGAAGCATATCTCTATTTTTTTTTCATGTTTGTCATTTTTGCAGTGATGTTGACATAGTTTCATCTGTCTCATTTTGGAAGAAGAGATGGTCCTAGATTCTAATAAGACACTGTTTGCTTGCTTACTCACATTGTCAACATCAGTTTACCATTTAGTGACTGCTTAGGCCAATTTTACTACTTCCTGAGTACTGAGATTAGTCCAGAATGATCCCTCTGTCGGTTGTAGGCACCTCTTAAGGAAATTAGTCCAAACTGTGCAGTATTAACATATATTTTGCATAGTGCCAATGCTTACTTGTTGAGTTGTGACTTATGGATCTTTGCCTTACTTCTGCAGCTTGCAGTTCTGTATCTCCATTAGAAATATATCATTAATCTTCATCACCATCTTGAGGTATCAGAAGAAATAATTTTCTGAAGTGATCTTTTTCTTCCGCGGCTTGATTCCAAAGACCAGGAATCTTTTTCATTATAGAGCAAACGCTTTAGGGAAGGCCCTGGGTTCCCTCCATTTACCTTCTTTACATTCAGGCTCTAATCAGAAAATTCTTTCAGCTGCCTTAGAAAATGTTGGTCCACAACAGAATAAAAACCACTATTAGAAGCATAAGATAAACCAAAACACAGTAGATATACAGTTTCTCAACTTTTCTGTTTTCTATTTTTGTCTATTTATTGTCCTTAAAGTACTTGAGAAAATTACCTTTCACTCTCATATCTTTATATTATATGTTTTTGAAAGTCATTCAGTTTTTTCTTCCCCAACTGTATCTAGAATTTTAGAGAATTTGATCACACATTTTCATCAGTTAAGATCTCAAATTCTCACTAGAATTTTATGCAGTATTTCTGTCTTTGCCAAAGTCTGAGTTTAACACCTATATCATCATGTAGCTTACACTTACACTTCTCACCTTCCTGTTAGAATGGCATTTCTGGTAAGCATCACCTCAGCTGGCAGGATGAATGAATTCTGATTTGACAGCAAGCCCTTGTATGGTTTTTTTTTCCCCCCTCTCTCCCTTTTCTTTCTTTTTTTTTTTTTTTTTGACAAAGTTATTCTTGGGTCACAATTTTTTGGTTGGTGGGAAGGGATAATTTAATTTAATTTTTACAAAAAGTGTATTAATCAATTTATATAATTTTTTGAGATTTTTCCCAACTGTGTGGCTCTCTTGTGAGGTCAGACTACATACAGTAGATATTTTTCAGTCTTTCTATAACAAAGGCGTATTATAAATCATTGAAAGCCCTTTACGGCTTTTGGTGAGAAGTCTAAAGGGACAGTCTGTTTCTTCTCAAAAACTCTCCAAAGGGGTCACAGACTTCACTGATATTTCACATTCTCTCAGAATTTAGAGCATATTTCACTAGGGTTCAGCTGAGAATGGCACTCTGTTTCACAGAAGTCCCTATTTCTGAAACAGGTAGGGCATCGACTACTTTGCATTTGTGCCTGCTTCATTCTAGCAGCTTCTGAACCAGATACTCATTTTGGCAGTGTCAATGTGTGATTATTATTTAATAGAGCTTTTGCACTGAGTAGTAGCTTGGTTACTTACTTGTAGTCAGATTCAGAGACCAAAAGCTTAAAGAAAGAGAGAGGAGGAGAAATACCCAGCCAGGCATTCCAGCAGAGAAGGCTATCAGGTTTTTATTTTTATGGCATTTCTTTCCCAATTGATGCCAAACCTTTATTTAAAAAATATCTAAAAAATGTTAACAAAGAAAATAAGCCACATTTGTACGTGCTTTGCCCCTATAACACTTCCTTTTAGGGACTACAAGAAGCTGCATACACTGACAGCTTGTTTATATGTTTACATTGTGTTTCTTATGTGTCCAAATGTCTTGCATATTACAGATCATAGACAAAAATTTCTCTGAATCAGATACGATATATCTTATATCATCTGGTGTGACACATGCGTATACGCTTCCCAGAACTCAAGTCCAAAATTCCTGACGCTTGCATAATGCAAACTGTAACATCTAGCTTAGCCTTGCATTGGTGTACTTAGTTTTACGCAGCTTTTATTTTTGCAATGGGTAAATTTGGTTCATCTATTCTGTTTTCTATACCGCAGGCTGTATGCCAAAAGGTTTGCTGAGAGTTGCTTTCAAGGGAGACATCTAGGTGAAAGGGCCTTGATAAACCTGTCTTGTCCCTGGGTTTTGAGAAAATGGCAAATAATATTGAGCATATGGAAACTAATGATTGTTTGCAGTCTGAGTCCTTTAATTTAAACACTTCCCAAGAGCATTTTACTTAGCTGGTAAGATCAGAAGAGATTACACTCCTCAGCAGTATGGATACAGTACTGTTCGTTTCTGTAATCACTGAAGCCCAGCACAAATGAAATTACAATAACCTCTGAATGAAAGGCACGTCTACTTCATTAGGTTGCATGGCACTTCCACCTTAACTGTTCATTGTGAGTAACTATATACAATCATTACTACAATCATGTCACTTTACATGACAAGGAGCAACAAGGTAGAACACTACCTGTTCTCTGGTTGTTATCTGGTACTAAGTACCAGATTTAAAATTGCTAATTTTACCTGGGAATAAAATGTTAAGCACTAACTAATACAGGCCAATACACTTTGCAGCTTATAAAAATCAAGCATGAGCTTCTAAATTTTGACACAACTTCTAATGTTTCAAATTCTATAAATTATGTACCATTCCATACTTAATAGCATTGGGTCAAAACCAGAGTCACATATGTAAACCCCTTCACTGTTGCGAGATTCCCGTATGGATTCCTTTGTCCATCGCTGTTTTGCAGCTACAGACCTCTGCTTTTGGACCTGGTTTGCATGCATGCTTGACAACCATGACGAGATCTAAATATTGGCTTATTGCTCATCTCTGTAGGCTGAATGTCTATGAATAGTTAATTAGGAAAAAATATTTTAAAAATATAAGGAAAAAAAATAGGGAAAATACTATAGAAAACTGTACCAAAGGTTACATTGATTATTTGCTATTACTTATTTTCAGGCATGCCTGTGAAAAATAACTTTGCAGCTTTACGCCAGTCTCCAGGACAGAATGGTACCAGCTTCCATGGCTGCATCCGTAATCTGTATATCAACAGTGAGCTCCAGGACTTCAGAAATGTGCCGCTGCAAGTGGGGATTCTTCCAGGTTGCGAGCCTTGCCATAAGAAAGTGTGTGTGCATGGGACATGCCAGGCTACCAGCCAGTCAGGCTTTTCCTGCGAGTGTGAAGGAGGATGGACTGGACCCCTCTGTGATCAGCAAACTAATGACCCTTGTCTTGGAAATAAGTATGTCCTTCCTCAAGACAGTACAGTAGTGTAATATGCATATAATTCTCCTGTTAAGGGGTTGGGTTTTTGTTTTGTTTTGGTTTTTTCCTTTAGAAGCTCAAGTTTTTTCAGTAGAAATAAAATATACTGGGCATTTCCTTAATGAGGAAAAGTGTCCAATTTAGGGGAGCACACTCACTGAAGTTCTGTCTAAAGCCTTAACATGGGATATGACTGAAGTCTGTACGCTCGCACACAATTCTACAGTGGCATGAGTTATATCAATTCAAGTGAGACTATTGATGACACTTGGTGGAATCTCTAAGACCTTGCAAATAGAAAAAAAAATCCATTTACTTATTTATAACTTTATAAGAATAAGATTCTTATTATTCCCTAATGTATTTTTAAAACTACATATAGTAGATATATCCAGTATTTTTATATTTCCCATATTTGGGCCAAGAAATAGATTTCTACATTTATGATAAACTCCTGTTTGAGTCTATTTGTGCTGATTCTTTTATTGAAGTTAAAATTTTTGTGTATGTGTGCGTGCATATGTGTATGTGTGTATACATATATATACACACACACACATATCTATACATACACATACATATGCGCATATATGTGTGTATATATGTATTTATATGTATGTATCTTATAAACCTGCCATAGGGACAGATTCAATATTTTCACTCATGAACTCCCAGCACAAGAGGATCAGAAACTTCAGAAGTTCAAAGTTCTTGAGGATTTATTGGCCACGTGCACAAGGTGTCATTCTGTCTGCCCCTGCCACTCTCTGTCTTTACTACACTGTGGCAAAAATCTCATTTTGACAACTATAACTATACTTTCAGAATAAAGTGAACTTGCTTGGTTTTTTTGGCTGCTACTTTTCCAGTGCTCTGGCCTTATAATATTTGAGGACCAGTGGCCTGAGTTTGCTAAGAGATTCTCGTGAGGTGATTTTCAAGTCCCATTTACAATAGTGTTTAAGTGGTCTTTTGGCATATGGTCTGTTGTTGAGACTAACCTTTTAAAGCTTCATTCCCCCGTGAGTATGTGGGGTTTTTTTTACATTCATTATGGAATGTTTCCGTGTTATTAAGTTTGTAACTTCTCAGAGCCACAGCAATGAAAATTTGAGGTGTACCATTGCAGCACTTTGTTATTCATGAGATCTTTTTCCTCCCCGTCCTCTTTCACAGTATCTTAAGAGGATAAAGAAAGGCAGCCACAGCAGGTTAAACATACATATGCAGTGTCTACCACATCCAATTTGTACTTCAGGAGTCAAAAATAAAATGGAATTGTCATCACCAAGTTCTACAATAAGGGAACACAAAGATTTTCTTCAAAGTATCATAGAAAAATTAGATTCAATGTAAGTTCTTATAACTACATGCTTCAATATCCAATCTGAGTACGCTTTGCAATGAATTAAGCAACTTGGCAAGTATCATATACAGGCAGTTTAGAATTTCTTTCAGGATAGCATTCAGTGAGCGTAGTATTAGTATTTTGTTAGCTCTTGAAAACAGTGTTTTGTTTTTGTTTCAGCTGTATACAGTGCTATGAGTTTTTAGGGGAGAAAGCAAAACCAAAATTGTATATTTGTAATGAAGGAGGTTTTTGTTGTTCCTTGCTTCCTGTGGAATTTGATTCTGTTTTTTGATTCATGCCTAAATCCTGTCTCTTGAAAAAAAGGATTTTGCCCTTGCGGAATAGTATGAAATTCCACTTATCTGAGAAGCAGAGTTGTCACTGATTAGATAAATATCTCATCTTTTGGAGGTGCTGGACTGCTGCACACCATAAGAAAGCTTGAGACTTAGATTTATTTTACCTAACTCTAGGTGCTTGAGTTAGGAACCCATTGACCCAGAGTTTACTCTGTAGTCAGTAAAGAAAAAAAACACGTTTTTAGGGACTAGGTTAGACCTCAAGTGGTCACCTTTTGGACATATATGCTTGTTTTTCTCCATGACCGTGTGGGGATCTTGTGGTAACTATACATCTGATTTGAGTGCCTGACATAGGTACCTAAAATTAGATAAGATGAAATTGTGCCTGAGAGTTTGCACTTGGCTTGATGTTCCTTTCAGTGCTGTCTGAAGATGAAATTTAGTGCTCAAAGAACAGGTGGAAGCAAAAGTATGAGAGTTGGCATTAGCTAAGATTTAATCATCTTCTAAGTCAAGCAGAACTTTACCAAAGATCCTGACACAGATTGCTTTGATATCTAAAACAGCCTGTATAGAATACGTCATGACGTCAGTGTCGCCTGAGTAACTTCATAGATCAGATGTCCAAATGTGGTTGTTTTGTAAGTGGTGAGTAGATCAAATGCTAAACACAGGGAAGACTAAATGAGAGCTAGCTACTTTTCGATACGTTCCTTGGATTTTGGGTTGCTTAGTCTCGTAGGCTTGGAATATCAGACTTCAACCACAGGAACAGTCCGGAATTTTATAGGGAACATCGCTGCTTCAAAAGCACGGACTCTTGCATAATAGGCAAGTAGGATGTGATCAGAGCTATTAGTTAGGTATAATTTTGCAGTTTTTAATCCTAAACTGGATATTTGAACGGAGGCTAAGTGTTGTGCAATCCGTTTGAATATCCTGTGGATGTGACGTGAATGTCTTCCCATGCTCTCTTTCCTTCTATACCACTAGTTAGGTCATGCTAAAGTGCTCACAGAGAATCGAGGATAAAGCTGGAGAGAGAACTGTAATGCAGATTTCATTTATGAGTGGAACTTATTTTTGATAGATAATGCAGGTTTGTCAAAGTTAAAATGTGTTGTATATTCATTTCAATTTAATCAGAATTCTTACTGGACTGCAGGAGTAGAGTGAAAGCAAAATGTTCCCAGAAATACTGAATATTTAATCTAAAAAATTTCAAAATGACATGTCAGTTTTTCTTAACACAACTCTTATTTCACTATGAAATGGCATTTTATGTGAGCTTTGGAATCTTCAGAATTGAAACGAAGGATTTTATTTTGGATTAAATGGGATATTTTTTTTCAATCTGAAGCTTTTTATTTTATTTATTTATTTACGTGGCAGCCACAACCTGCTAATTAGGTTTTGGGCTCAGAGAGCTTACAGTACAGGGATGAGAAACGCTAGGGGGGCTGTGACTGTGAATGTCAAAATGCATTCCTCCCTATGGAAGAATCATCACTTGTGGTCTCCATAGGAAACAGTTAGAAAACTTGTTTATCAACAGAACGGTTAGAGGAAACAACATCATTTCTAGGAAGAAAGTTATTGATCCTCTGTCACCAAATGAACAAAGGGAAGTGATTTTATTCCAAGTAATTTATGATACTTTTAGAGATGAATTCCCTTAATCTTCAGCTTACACCTAGGAAAAGGTAATTAAACATCCTCCTTTTGGGAAAGGCCACGTCTCTCTTGGAGAAATAAGCCTGGCTTTGTGTTCGCATACTGCACATGAGAACTTAGCAGGTGCAGCTTAATGCACAGCCTTTTTGGTCTAACAACAAGATTTGAGCATGCCACAAACATGTACTAGAGCCCAACAGAGGGAGTTCGAGTATTAGTTGGGTGGCTTGACAATGTGCAGCCTCCTCTTGTGCAAGTTTCTCCAGTAAGTGAGTACTGCTGCTTCTCAGTGTAGTAAAGACCAGGCTCATCTGCTGTGTGACCAGGCTAAGTGGCAGTGACAAGGGCTGGCCAGTGTGTTTGGAGGGGGGGGGCATGTCTTCCGCTTGGAAACTGCCATTGCTTGGATCAGAAAACTTTCAGCTAGGAAGAATCTGACCTGTCTTTGTGCTGGGAGCCCCATACTTCATGAATGTCGATATTTTTTTTAATGATAAAAGGGCCAGAATTGCAGGTGAGTATCCTTTTCTATACTTGATCCTAATGGTTTATTCATTTGGGCTGGATCTTGCTGTATTCCTCTCATAGCCAAAAGCATGCAGAAAATTCTAATAGAAAGGAATTATTGGTTTTGATAACTGGGGCCTGTAAAAGTCTTCCATAACACATCTACAGTGGCTGTTTTCTGGTGAAACAGAGCTCTGTACTGCAGCTTCTTTTGTGTAAACTTCTGTACCAATTATGAAAAGCTTATAAACCACTTCACTGCATTTCACTGAAAAAGTCCATTAGAAACAAAAGAAATTTCTTCTGAGTACAGTCCAAAGTATTTGTAGTTAATGTTGCTTAGCCTGAACTTTGATGAATAATTTATTTTTACTCTCTTGGGCTTGTTTCCCCTGTAGATGTGTGCATGGTACCTGCTTGCCGATCAATGCATTTTCATACAGTTGTAAATGCCTGCAGGGACATGGGGGAGTCCTCTGTGATGAAGAGGAAATGCTGTTTAACCCCTGCCAATCCATCAGGTGTAAACATGGCAAATGCAGGCTTTCAGGACTTGGGAAACCATATTGCGAATGCAGCAGCGGATACACAGGGGACAGCTGTGATAAAGGTAAAAAAATAATAATATTTTTGTTAAAAGTCATGTTATTGTTTTGTTCTTAGAAAAGAGTTTTTTTATTAAAACATGAACAGCCAAAAACATTACCAACTTTTTTTCCCCACAATACACACATCTGTTGCTTTTTTTTGACCATAAGAGTTTATCTCAGTAGGAGAAAAATCAATCTTTTTCCATGAATTTAAATATTTTACATTTTGAAGATTTTTTCATCAAATGTTTTGCTGTGAAAACATTTCTTTTTTTCACTTTATTCAGAAGCAGATTTTTGCTATATTTAACTGTTACCTTTTACCTGCTGTATCTTTCTGTATTTATTGTTTCTCTGCCTTCTGCAACTGAGAAGCCAAATCCAATGATTCTGCTCCTAGTTTTATCACAAACTCTACTTTTGACCTCTCAGCTTCAACTGATTTATCACAGCGAATTATGCAGGTGAGACAGATGAAAACAGGATGACTTTTCCCCCTACCTTTTTCTTTTTCCTTTGTCTATCAAAGCTCTCCCTCTCCCTCTGTTTCCCTTACCCCAGATGGCATTTATTTTGTATTGTACGTAGACGTGAATAGAATAGAAGAGTATGGTTGTAGAACTTTTAACAGATGTCTCATTTTTAGCTGGTTTTATACCTCAGTAATTTATGAAGTTAGTGGAATGTAACTTGTATTAAATAACAGATTGAATAATACTAAACTCCAGGTCTAATAAATTAAATTGCATGCTCTCTGAAACATTTCCCTATGGTAAATAGAACCAGCTGCAAGCAATGTAAGAACAGAAGATGTGTATTTTTATAAAAGAGGAAAAGATTTAAGCTTCCAATTTTCTTGTCATTGTAATAGCTTTGTATTTATGGTTTACATATACATAGTATAAACTTTACTGAAAATAGGAGGCATAAGAAATAAAATTCAGCATTTATCAAATGCTGTTTGATAGAACCCCGAGTTGCTAATATACAGCCTGGGTCAAACTTTAAAATATCAATCCCAACTGCAATTAGAAACACAGCATCTTCTATAGCAATGTCAACCATTCTTTGACCTGTATCTCAAAAGCATGTCTCTTATTTTAAATGTTGTTTGCTACAGAAATCTCTTGTCGAGGGGAACGAGTCCGAGATTACTACCAAAAGCAGCAAGGGTATGCTGCGTGCCAGACGACCAAGAAGGTATCGAGACTAGAATGTAAAGGAGGATGCTCAAATGGGCAGTGCTGTGGACCGCTCAGGAGCAAGAGACGGAAATATTCTTTTGAATGCACTGATGGGTCCTCGTTTGTGGACGAGGTTGAAAAAGTGGTAAAGTGTGGCTGTACAAATTGCCCCTCCTAAATGTGTCCCTGTCACACTTGTCTTTTGAAAATGTTGTATACTTATTGACCGTGTCGGACTAATTAATGCTTCATAGTGGAAATATTTGAAATATATTGTAAAATACAGAACAGACTTATTTTTATTATGAGAATAAAGACTTTTTCTTCATTTGCAAAAAGATTCAAGTGCTTGAACTGAGACTTCTCATAACCAAGAGGAGCTTTGAAGAAAAAAAAAGACCTGGTAACATTGCAACAGTGATGGGAAACTTAACTGCTTTTAACATGGATTCTTCTTTATAACATGCTGAAGATACACTGACACTATACACATGTGACTTTCAACTGACAGCTCAGAGATGAAATGTTGACCAGAACATGAGGCTTGTTTTTTCACTTTCTTATCAGTATATTTTATTGTCTTGACAGACCATACCAATCACTTACCTATGGATGAGGAAGCATTTTGAGTGGAAAAGAAGGAGATTATACAGAAATAACAATTGTATTAGATAAATTTTATGTTTTGGAATTATTAAGGATCTTGAGAAGATGGGGGCCAATTAGTGGATGGGAAATGGGAGATACAAGAATATACTATAATCCTAAAATCTCCTGATGATGTATACGTTTATGTCAGCATGTTAGCAAAAGAAGCATACAGAAAGTGTTTATCTGCCCTTTTCCAGTATTAATTTTTTGTAATATAAATGTTATGGGGATGATAAAAATAGATTATTGATGGATAAATTAGTAATAATATGGATTTCTGTTTCTATGAGTTCTAAACAACTCTATACAGTATTCGGTTTCATTGAGAAATATTTATTGTATCAAAGTACTTTGTACTTAACCCTTTTAGGCCACCCCTTTTACTGTTTTTCAATGCTTTAATATATATTAATTTATATTTGTCCTGGTATTTTTGTATTTGTTTTTTTTTTTTTTTTTTAAAAAGACTTAAAAATCAGGATTTTTGCAATAGAACTAACGTAGCATGTCGTCTTGGGGTAAATGTTTTTGGTCTGTTTTTTCTCCCCTTCCCCTTCCCTATTGCTTTTCCTTTTAATCTGACCACTTGGTGTCACTGAATCTGAAAGTGATGACAATCTGCAGTTTTCACATACAGCAGATATTCAGGACACCTTCCAAGAACCTGTAATATATGACAAAATATCTTTACACTAGATGGCAATTGTATAGAAGTTAATTTTCCCCTATATACAGTACTTACAGAAGATAAGATGGCATGTAGAAAATGACATTAGAAAGTAGATCTTTATAAATTAATATTCCCATGGGGCTTTTTACCTTTTTTACAAAAAAAAAAAAAAAGGCTGTCCTATCAAGAACTGTGACTTTCCCCAAATAATAAAACTACTTTACTGCCCTAATGTTCCCCACGTTAACATGTTGCTGCTAAATTATAATGTAGAATTGGTAATCATTAATAGTGGGTTGTGTTCTTCTTTGAGTAAAACCCAGGGTACCCTGTAAAAAATGCAGATGTTTTTCAATTTTATTTTATTATTTTTTTTACAAAAAAGTTAGATGTACATGTGTAATGCAGTGTGCTTTGTCTTATCTGGACTGATATCAGTAATAATACTGATGTTTGTAAATTAAACAGATATTTACTTCATTAACAGCTTTTATTTGTATTCTTCTGAGAAGTTTAAATTGTCTAACAGCCTTTAATTAAACATCTGTAGCTGCAAAGAATATTTGGCAAAAAAAATAGAATAAAACCCAAACCTAGTTCTAGTATACTCTTTGCTGAAAATTTGAAGGAAGAATTAATCTGGGATTATTACATCTATAGGCAGTGACATCTGAGAATGTGGATAGTGAGGAACACAGCTGAACTATCAAAAGGCTTACAAATAAAGTACACTGCATGAAAAAGCAAGTTGAGTCTATCCCAATATTTTAATAGTTGTACAAATGGCAGTTTGATAGTTGTTTTAGAAAGTAATTTGATTCTTCAGAGGAATTCATTTTCACTAAGTTTTCTCTTGAACTAAATATTTTAAATCTAAGCAATTGGATGAGGTAATGCTTAAGCAGAGTTCACTTTTGTAATTATAATGTTTCGTATACCTCTGTATCTATTTTACTTAGTCTTCAAAATTGTCTAAATATCTAATGAAACAGCCTTTGGCATGAGGCCTTCTTTGCAGTTTCTGACTGCTAAATAATTTTCTGTAAATAGAAGCAGCTTTGTGGAAAAAGTAGGCATTTTTGCAAAATACTACTTTTTATGATATTCTTGGAGAATACGATAAAATGGTACCAAATGTGTGGAGCTGGCCTGCTTTCCGTCCTCATACTGCTGGAGAAGGAGGCACTTTGTTTTGGTATTGAAGCAATGCTAGCAAGTACATGGTAGGAAAGTGTGATCCTGAGGCCATCGAGATGGGGGCTTTTTGTGGTCTCTAATGAGAAGCAAACAAAAAACTTAAAATTTAATTTCAGAAAAGTATTTTGGCACCTACAGTGCCACTCTGAAGGAATATGGGCCCCTACTGTGCCTCAGTTCACCTGAGCAGCCCTGTATTCTCACCACGGAAGTTCCTCAGCATCTACAAGATGTGCTAATGTGCATGACAAGAGATGGGTTTCTCAGTGGATGGGTCACCCTGACACCTTTCTTATGCCTTAAAACAGGTTGCTTGTAATATTGCTATAAATAGGCTGCCCTGTATCTGTATCCTCGAAAGGGAACAGTTCTGATAGGTGTGTTTCAGGCATAGATAACACAGTGCACGGCAGAGCTCTCCAGACACACACACTTTCATTCAAAAACACAACTGAAGAAGGAGATGGTAATGCTAACATTTAACATGGTGCTTAGGGATTAGATTTCTCCCCTCGGTTCTGTTGCCTGTCTGACTCATCACTCATACATTCTGTTTTTAATGTGCAGAATAAAATGCGTAAACAGCATTGGGTCTGAAGGGTAGCCCTCAGTACAGTGATGAAGTTCCTCACTTTGAGGAAACCAAGAAAACTGAAAATTGTCAACAGATTCTACCATTTTCTGCCAGTATTCTTTAAAGCTATAAAAGAAAAAGCACATGAATACAGCTTTATTTGTACTGGCTCATGCACAGCTCCTACTGTCATTTCACAGACGATAATGATGTGAAAGAGCATGGAAAAAAGGACCATTCTTCTTGAATGAAAGAGTAACAACAGTCATTGCTTTTTCGTTAACATTGCAAGTCAGTTCTGAACGTGAGCCGTCATACGTGGAACTAGAATCGGCAGCCTGTCTCTAGGCTTGTGGGGAAGACAGGTGAGTGAGTGACAGAAGTACTGGTTTGTGCATACCAATGGTGAGCTTCAAATCCGCTCTGAGAGATACAGTTTATTTTGTAGCTCTACTGAAACAACAATTGTGTCTGGTTTCCAGAGCTACTTTTTATTGCCATACAGGGGTACCATGAAGCTTTGTAATACAAGAATCATTGTAATGGGATAATGCTGTGTGTATGTGCCACAGTAAATACAGCATCATATGATGCTATGAAGGCATTTGTCTGGAAAGACCAGAATCCAGAGGTTTTGTAAATTATGACAAATCCAGCAGCCCTGACAATCCACAGTGTAGTAATAAGGCAATAGATAAACTGGAAATCACCATGTCATTTTTGATGAGATAAGTGATGATTGAGAGATGAGGGGGAGAGTGGCAGGTTTTGGAAAGGAGCTTGTTGTTGAGAAGAAAAAGCTCAGAAGTTTTGGAAAAGTGTCAAGAATGTTAGAGGCTTTTTGCATTGAAGCTCTGGATTTTGGGGGCTTTATTTGTCAGTAGTTGAAACGTATGACTTTAAGAGAAGCCTTTTTAACAGTTCCAAAAAAAATGCATGCTTTATCTTCAGTTAACCATACTGCTTGAAGAAAAGTTTTTTTTTTTTTTTAAGTGGTTTAGAATCACATCTTTTGACTCCTTTTTCTCTCCTTTAGAAGATTCTTATTTTCTTGGTAGCTCATTAGGCTTGCAAGTGTCTGTGTTTCAGCAATCCCACCTTACAGTGGAGATCCTGACACATGATTTTACTTCTCCTAAAGTAAAATTCCCCAGCTGAGCCATTCAGGATTCTCGGCTTTTAAAAGAGATATTTATACACTGAGTTGGTATCACCAATCTACTTAAGATTCTTGGAGTGGAAATCAGAAAATCGGTGGTAGTTGTGACTGTTTGGGACTCTCAGGAGTAAAATAACACTGAAGTGTTTGCTTGCATGCCTGGAGAGCCTGGCTTATCCGTGGAGAGCCTACTGTTTTACTGTATCCTTTATGTATTGTGTTCCTGGGAGAGTGGGAAGTAGTAGTGCTCATCCTTTCAGAAATGCCTGAGAGCAGAGGGATTTTGTGTCCTTTTGCAAATAAATTGTCTAGGCTGGAAATTATAGGCCTGTTTGGCCCTCAGCCAGGTTAAACTGTGTATGTATACCTTAACGTCAACCATCATCTTGGACACCAGCAGATCCTGATGTTAAAAAAGTGAATAAATCTTGCTCTCAGTTTAATAAAACACAGATGGGAAAAGCAAACCAAACAGAGAGTTAACAGCTCTATTCACTAGTCTCCTGGGCTCCATGTGATTAAATCAGAGTTGCAGGGTATGTTCCTGCTGCTGCTGTTCTGGCCAGTGTCCGTAGGGGTGATGGCCAGCAAAGGAGAAGTAGTCTGTCAGTGCTGCATGTCATTTGTCAAGCTGAGAAAAAACAGTCATCTCATTGAACAGCAAGATTTCTGGCTATCCACAGTCCCAACAAATATGCTCCAGCTCTGCAGTATGACACCCCTGCTGCAGGAATTCTGCTTAGCCATGGGAACAGGCTTCAAAACTGCCTCCCAGATCCCCAGCTTAATTTCAAACTGTTGATCTTGCTAATGCTTTCTGTTCTCTCATCTTCACAACTCCATCCTTTTCTTTCATTCCAACTCAGGGGTAAACTACCCTTCTTCGACTCTAAAGTGACACTGAGCCTCAGTACTCTCAACAGCTGCCCTATATTACACACAGGAGATTAAGCCTTATTTTTTTGTTCCTTTTTTAGGTAAACGCTAACATTTGCAGAGGGCTCAGAGGACCTATCTTAAAGAAGGAGAGAAACAGGTTACACTTTGGTTCCAGCTACAGAGATCAGACTTTTTCGTGTCCTTTCTAATTCAGAAAAGGTTACATTACCTCTTGTATCTGATAGATTGGTATAAATTTACTTATTTTATGGGTTTCTAGACTCAGACCAGGGGAATCATTATCTGTTTTTGTCTGTTACATTTTCTTTTAGTTCCTTTTAGGATACTTTCCATATCACAAGAGACAAGTAAAGATAGAATTAATGTGCCTGGGTTGCTTACTCTGTCATTAAAGTTCCTTAAAAAGATCCAGTAGCCTTTTTCCAGCCCATTTTTCTTCTTTCTCATACTTTTGCATATTCTGGGCTTCAATCTGTTGTTTCTGCATGATGGCCCATTTGTCCACTTTGGTTAATTTCCAGGACAGATTTAATCCTTCTCTAAAGAGAGGGAAAGGATACCTTTTTTTTTTTTTCCCTGCAGCTGTGCCTAAAATCTCTCACAGTACATCTTTAGAAGTATGTTTTCTTTCAAAGTCCTCTGAGAATAGGTTAACTTGAGCTGTTTTTACTGCAAACTTGTTTTTTTGCTTCTGATTAGCTTTATTTATTTAATCACATTTCTGTGTTTCTGCTATGGTAACAGCAGTAAGAGCAGTACCAGCTGACCTATGCTGTAGCCTGTTGCTTGCTATTTTGAAGTAGCAAGTCGAAAGAGTTTAAAATTTGTCTGCTCTCTCTTATTTTCATTTGTTTTTTGATTGGTTCTCTCTCCCTCTCAGTTTGGGCAATTTTATGACTATATAGTAGTCATACTACATACATAGAATTACTAGGACAAAGTTTATGGAACTGCGAAGATGTGCTCAAATGATCAAGACTGATGAGACCAAGAATTGCTTCTGGGACTCGGAGGACAGCTTAAGCTGGAAGCACCAAAAATTCCCTCAAGAGTGCTAGAGAAGGAAGATAAAGGGGCCTAACATTCACTAATTCTAGTATAACATATATTGGGAGGAAGGTTTGGGCATGTTTATGTGTCCACAGTGTGACCATCTGGCACTGCATAGACTCAACTGCAGAAAAAGTTTCAGTGTTATCCTAAATAAAAAAAATAAAACTAATGAGAAACTTTGCAAAGCACCTTAAAAAACAAGTAGCATGAGGGTTTGCTGACTCCAGCTTGATCAAAACAGTGCTCATCAACTAAAATCACAAACCACAGACTGGCCTTCAGCAGTCACCCCTTCCCTTTCCTCCAGCCCCAGGCACCACTGGCTTCTCTCCACTTGCAGATTGCTGTACACACAAAGGGATTAACTCCTAGTTGCTCTTGGGTGACAAATACATCCACCTATTTTGAAAATTATGTAGAAAAGATACTTACGGCGCAGAAAGTAGTGACCAACCACAGAACTCATCCTAGTGGTAGTTTATGCTGACAAAAAAGAACTGCTTGGGAATAATAGAGACTGTAGAAAAAGTGACCACAGTCCATTGAATTTCACATGGTAAGGAATAAGCTTATTAATTGCAGAAAAACAA